GTTGTGATTGTTCAGTCACCCAGTCAGGTCCGTCTGTTTGCAACACGATGGACTGGAGCACGCCAGGCCTCCCTGTCCCTCGCCATCTCCTGGAGTTTGCCCAAGTTCAAGTCCACTGCATCAGAGATGCTGTCCAGCCATCTCATCCTCTGATGCCCTCTTTTCCTTCTGCCCTCAATCTTTCCCAGCGTCAGGGACTTTTCCAATAGTCAGCTATTCACAACAGGTGACCAAAATACAGGAGCCTTAGCTTCAGCATCAATTCTTTTTTGTGTAGCTATAGTTGATCCTTTTATCTTCGCACTATTGTGTTGTTTAAACAAACCACATGATGTATTTATCCACTACAGTCTTTATCAGACATTTGCATGCTTCATTTTTGGGCTATTGTAAATAATAAGCCCTAAACATTCTGGTACATGGATCTAACACATGTATGTGTGAATTTCTCTAGGGATATACCTGGGAATGGAATCCGTAGGTCATAGGATGTGGATATCCTCCATTTTCTTAGATATGGCCAAAATGTGTCTGTACCAGTCTGCATTCCCACCCATCACTGATGACAATTCCTGTTGCTCCACACACTTACCAACACCTGACATTATTACATTTAAGTTTTTTGCCAAGGTAGTGGCCGCATGGACCGAGGTGCCCGGTGGGCTGCATTCCATGGGGTTGCAAGAGTCGGACATGACTTAGCAACTAAACCACCACCACCAGCAGCTGCATGAGTATTTCTCATTGTGGTTTTCGTTTTCATTTCACTGCTTCTTAATGATGCTGAGCACCTTTCCATGTTTACTGGCAAAACCTATTTCTTTTTTTGTGTGTGTGTGTTTTTTTCATTAAAAAAATTTTTATTTATTTATTTTTTTCCATTTATTTTTATTAGTTGGAGGCTAATTACTATACAACATTGCAGTGGTTTTTGTCATACATTGAAATGAATTAGCCATGGATTTACATGTATTCCCCATCCCAGTCCCCCAAAACCTATTTCTTTGAATATGCTTTATTACACAGACCATTTTTCCTCTTTATTCAATTTGAAAATCCACAAATCAAATGCATTTGGGAGATTATATTGTAGTTAATTTCTCAAAGCCAAATTTACAGCATTGAGTCAACATCAGGAAATCAAGAACTAAGAGGAAGAAAGAAGATGAAGAGGAGAAAGAGAGACTGATCAATAATAAGTAGAAAAGAAAGATTTTAGTGGAAAATCCGAGGGATAGGAAAAGAGATGTAAAATTGTTTTAAAAGATAGGGATGAGGGACTATAATCCCATCGTTTATTTTTTCTTTCTTTATTTACTTATTGGCCCTGCTGTCAAGCACTTGTGATCTCAGTTCCCCAACCAGGATCGAACCTAAGCCCCCTGCATTGAAAGCAGGGGTCCCAGATTTCATCTTTTTTTTTTTTTTTTCCGGATTCCATCTTTTAAAGCTGTTTTTCATGGATTATAAAGTTGGAATGGGGGGAAAATGCAAATTAAAGATGGTAAAAGGCTAATGGAAACTTACATTATTTAATTATGTAAGGAAGAATGTAAACGGATATTTATTCTAACAGTCTACCCCACAGAGCATATAAGAGGTCCCTTCTGAGTGCCTCACACATACAAACATGGCATTTGAACTTTTGTTCCTCTGCACTAATAAGACAGCTATTACATGTTTCCTATCCTTTTAGCAATCACGGGGTTTGCTCACTGTGGCTCTCCATATGCAGTGAAACAGGTAAAATCTAACCTGTCTGAGGCTGCTTACTACTGAACTGGAATGATGGTTGCTGCCTAAGGTGTTGGGATTGTAATTAAGTGGAAGGGAAGTGGCTTGGTAACTGAGCTTTCTGGTTTGGTCTGGCACTCGGAATTCTTAAAAGGTCATCCGCCTCTTTTTTTTTTTTTTGTCTTTTTAAAATTTTTATTTTTTTGGCTGCACTACTTGGCTTCCTGACCAGCAACTGAACCCACACCTCCTGCACTAGATCACCTGGGAAGTCCCTCACATGCCTGTCTTTTAAAGGACTGTCTAGACACTATCGTTTAGGAACTGTGGATTAGGGTTACCTATTCATAGTAACTAATAGAGGTAGAGATGTTGTTTAACACTTCAGATGCAGAAAAGCAAAAACAAAAAAGTCACTAGTTCGATCTAGGGGAAAAAAGGTTTGTTATTTAGAAGTTCCGGTTTATATAATCCCTGACTTCCTGGAGAGACAGGGGATATTAAAATATTAAAAACCAGTTCCTCTTGTCCTACACGTGAGTTGACTCAATAGCTTAATGATAAAGGTTATAACAATAATTCATTCAGAGATGTATTACATGCTAGTAGTGAATTCTTACACATATCCTTGAAAATGGAGACCACATTTTACAAAGAAATAAACTAAATCATATCAAATTACTGAAGAGTTCTAGGCCAAACACAGGATTACAGGTGGGTTATTTAATTCTATTAGACTTGGATATTTCCTTCCCAAGATTCAGTCCCAAATCCTTAGCCCTTTACAGAATTTTCAGATGGGTGACATTCAATGATATACTCACAATCCTGACCTTTTGAGTCTTGACCTTTAACTTTCTGCTGGGGTATCTCTAATTTCTAAAAATCAAAGCCTGTATCAGATCCCCTTTTGGACTTCCTCATTTATTTCAGCCCTTTGAGTCTCTCCTGATGGCCTAAAATCTTGGAATCGGACCAGGTTCCTCCTTCTGGTCTAGTCACCACTTAATCTAATCAGGAGCAAATTCTTGCCGGATCATTCCTTTCCATGCCCTCCTCACTTTATTTCTAATCCAGGCTTTTATCTCTCTCATACCTATACTATCACGCCAGCCTCCTAACTAGGCGGCTCCAGCCAGTCTTGGGTTCTCGCACGCCAGATTCAGCCTGGAGTTTCAGCACCCATGTCCTTCTGTAAGCCCACTGGCCCTGCCAGGCTGGTCCATTTTGGAATCAGGTCCTCGAATCTCAACCCCATCCATTTGCCTTACCGATCATTTTTGTCATGTATACTGCCTTGATGAGACCTTCCCTTGCGACAGCCCCCACTCTCTTAATTTACTGTCTGAATGCTCTCCCTTGACACCAAGGAAGCATACACAAGACTGTGTTCTTTAAATTTTACTCCATCTCCAATGAAGTCAGCAAGAAAAAAAATAAAAGCTGTTTTTCATGGATTATAAAGTTGGGATGGGTAAAAATGCAAACTAAAGATGGTGAACGGAGAATGGAACCTTATGTAAGAAAGAATGTAAATGAATTCCTTACAAGCAAGTGTCTTTTGCACCTTACTTTTTTTCCAGTATACGTATATATACTGGATTAAAAAGAATCCTGGGCATCCTTCCTTATCAGCAAACACATTTTTGCGCGAGGCTTTCTAAATGCCCGCTGAGTATGAATATTTCATTTGCTTAGTCCTTTAATGACGGACAATGGTGATTTTTTCAGCTTTATTATTATCAAGCATGCTACAATGAACATCCTTGCATATCTAGAGGAACTTTAATATCCATAGGTAAAGTAGTAGCCCTGAGGGACCTCATTGGTGGTCCTGTGGTTGAAGATTCACCTGCCAATATAAGGAGCCCAGGTTCTCTCCCTGGTCTGGGAGGAGTCCACATGCCTCGGGGCAACTAAGCCTGTGTGCCATCACTACTGAGGCCTGCCTGCGCTGCACCAAGAGAAGCCGCCACAATGAGAAGAGCAGCAGAGAGTAGCCCCCACTCTCTGCAAGTGGAGAAAGTCCTGGCGCAGCAACGAAGACCCAGTGCAGCCAAGACTAAATAATTTTACATATCGTAGAACTAGGATTGCTAAATATGTACATATACTGGATTAAAAACATATATTTCAATTTGGACAGATATAACTAATTCTCTGTTGAAATAATTTTCACTCTCCACTCTCGTTTTTGATACCACTCAATTTCCAGCCACCCAGGATCTGACATGGGAGCTTTGTTTAATGGCAGCTCATCCCCATCGACCATCAGTATTGGAAACATGGAAAGCTGGGAGACAAGGGAATTGAAGGCCAGAAAACCGGAATAATCTGGGATCCGGGGCAAGAGACAACATCATCCTTCTGAACTGGAGCCAAATGAAATCTAAATGTAGCATCTATAAAATAGTGGATAATCTTCATGTTGATTTTATTTTTACAGATGTGAATATAAACAAAATGAAATGTCATCGTCTTAACCCCTAGGGATTCTCTGAAGGGGTGGTACTATGTAAACTGAGTGAACTCAGAACAGCAGAATGAAAACTCGATTGAGACAAAAACCCTGCAGAGGAGGGACTTTCCTTTCTATTATCTGAACTGCTTTTGTGTGGGAGACCTGAGTTCAATCCCTGAGTTGGGACGATTCCCTGGAGAAGGGAACAACTATCCACTCCAGTATTCTGGCCTAGAGAATTCCATGGACTGTATAATCAGTCCACTGGGATGGCAAAGAGTCGGACCAGACTGAGCGACTTTCACTTTCACTGAAGTCTTAGATTATGGGACACTAAACAACCATTGACAGCTGTGTGCTATTTTGAATTCCTCATCGGTTTTAGAAGTTGGGTAAGGATACTGACTTATCTGAAAGTTTATCAAATTTGAAATTAACTGAGAAGTATCATGCAGTAGTTTATCCCCGTGAAAGAAACTAAATTGTGGCCATGGCAAAGCGTGTCACTTTTTTCTTTAGTAGCAGGATGCAGACATTTTAATATAAAACATGTTTTCTAACTGTTTAGGGTAGGGAAGCATATCAGAAGCAAGGTTTAAAGAATGGCTTGGCTGGGTTGCCAAACGATGTTATTATTAATAGTATACCATGACACAAATTTTGACCATGGTAATGCGCCAATTTAGAGCACTCCAAAACAAAGCTTCTCCTTCACTCAGTAGTGTGAGAGATAGGTTTTAGCCTTATCTTTTCCCCAGCATTCAGAAGTACAACCTTAAGCTTACACTAGGATGGCCCATCTCACCTGGAACAGGGCGAGGCTTGCCCTGTGGGATCACTTCTTGATGAATGGAGTGAGGCTGAACAACGGAGCAAGGGGAAGGGGGCTTCCCTTTGTCACCAGTGAAGCCTGGCTTCCTGGGTGCACACGAGGAAGACCTAGAAAGATAAAGAAAGCGAATTCATCTTGGCTGGCTACCTTCCCTGCCTCCTGCGCCCTCGGGTAGCTGCTGAGTGCAACCCTCTGAGCTCTCTAGAGTGTCTTGTGGTTCAAGTTTCTACTCAGATGCTCCAGGAACGGATACAACCCCTCTAAGGCCCTCGCCCGAGAAGACAGATCCAGTCCTCACCACGAAGCTGTTCCAAGCCCCCGAGCCTCCATCCTTACTCTGCGGGACCAACCTCCTCCTCGGAGATGACCACAGACGCCCGGAGGCCTGGAGGACCAAAGGCCGTCCCCACCTCCAGGGCGGCTGCTACACTAACGGCGGCAGCTCCGCGACCTGGGGAACCTCAGTTCACTTGACTTCCTTAGGCGAATCCAGGAGGGAAGGCGGACGTGGCTGCAGACCGCCCCCGCCCCCCCCAAAGCCCTTGTTGTGCGCTGTGTCCCGCGCAAGGTGGGGAAAAGTCTTTACTACGAGGCGGCAAGATTAAGCGAATTCACACCTAGAGGTGAAGAACTGATCCCCTGGGTCTTCCTGGATTTTTTTTCCCCCACTATAAAAGCAGCTGCTCAGTAACCCGGAAGACTCTAAATGGTGGGGAAGGTGGTACAGACCTGGCCGGAGAGGAGTTGGGGAACTGGGAGGCTCCCCCCGAGACGGAAGAGCTGGGGGAGCGGAGGCAAGTGCTGTGGGCCCGGGCCCTGCCAGGCCTGCTGCCCGTGGCCCCGTTCGGGCCGACCACGACGTAGTAGCTGCTGAATAAATATTTGTGGAATGAGAGAAAGTCCGCGTTCCTTCCCGGACACGTCCAGGGACCGGGCCGCCGCGGTTTCCTTCCAGCGCGCTCGCCCACACCTCCCCGGGCGGCGGCTGGGCGCTGGGCGGGGGACTTCCCGGGGCGGGGGCGGACGGAAGGGCTGGATGCCCGGGGCGGGCACGTCCAGCTCGGGGCTCCGCGGGCCGAGCGGACGTGGACGACGACCAGGGTGGGGTGGTCAGCCGCTTCTCCGGGTCTGGCCCGAGTCCTCCCAGCGGGGCCCCCCCGGGGACAGGGCGGGACGCGGCGCTCTCGGACCTCGGGACTCGCCTTCGCAGTCCGCCGCGAGGCCCGCGGGGCCCCTCGGGGCTCGGAGGTCCCGGAAGGCCGGGCGCCCTTGCAGAGGCCCCCGGACGCGCTTTCCCGGCGCCGGCGGGGCTTTTCATACTTTCTCCCCCACCCCTCGCCCCGGGAACCGCCCCGGGGTCCGAGACGGGGTGCGGAGCGCCGCGCAGAGGAACCCTTTTGTGCCCTCGTTGTTCGCTGGGACCTTTTGCTTCCGAAGGGAGCCTCCCACACCCCTTTCCTCTCGGGGAAAGTCTTGTGGTTTCCCTGGAAGTCGGAAAGAGGTGGAAGGAGAGGGCTGCGGAGCGCTCTCTTTAGTTTCCCGTTCCGAAACTCTTAAAATAAAATAAACCCCAAGCGTTCGGCCGTAAGGAGACTTTGGGGGTCCGGTGGAAGCAGCGAACCGCGCATTCCTCCGCCCGCCTCCCTCCCACCTGGCCCGCGGCCGCCCTCCCCCGCCGCCGCCGCAGCTCGGCTCGGGCCGGCGCCCAGGCCCGCGCGCGGAGCCGCGGGAGCCGCAGGGTTAAGCCCTGGAATGTGGCGGCGAGGAATGTGCATGCAGATGAGCCGGGCTGGGGGCGGGGCGATGGGCGGGCCAGGATAGGGGGCGTGGTGAGGCGTGGCGGGGGCGGGCCCGGGGCGAGGCTATGGGCGGGTCCATGCTAATAGCACGCAAATGAGGAGCCCAGTCGCCGCCTCGGCCGCCGCTCCGCCGAGCTTCCCGGATCCGAGCCCAGACGGCGGCGGCTCGGGCAGCCTGGGCGCCGCGACCCTCGGCGGCCGCAGGGGGACGGGGAGGAGGAGGAGGAAGAGGCGGAGGCTGCGGCGGCGATCGCGAGGAGGAGGAGGAGGCGGAGGAGGGTTCGCTCGCCCGCTCCGACGCAGACATGGTGGACTGATCCCCGGCGGGGCCGAGAGCAGGGTTTCCTGAGACGCCCCCAGTCCCCGCGCGTGGCCCCCGCCGCAGCCCCGCAGCCCCGCGGGCCCCCACCCCCTCGCCGGCGCCGGGATCAGGGGTGCGGCGGCCGGGCCCGGGCAGTCGCGTTCCCGCCGCGTCCCGCGCCCGGGTCCCCTATGGAGGCGCCGCCCGCCGGCGAGGCCGCCGACCATGCCTAGGAGGGCCGGGAGCGGGCAGCTGCCGCTACCCCGGGGCTGGGAGGAGGCCAGAGACTACGACGGCAAGGTTTTCTACATCGATCACAACACCCGGAGGACCAGCTGGATCGACCCCAGGGACAGGTGGGCGGCCGGGCCGCGGGGCGGGCGCGGGGACCCGCCTCGGGAGCGCGGCGGCGGCTGTTGTCCGGGAGACCCGGCCGAGCGGCGGCGCCCGCGGCGCGGGGGGCGTGGGGCGCGCGGGGCGTCGCCGGCCCCCGGGGGGTGCTGCCGGGGAGGAGGCGCGGGGACCATCCGCCCGAGCCGGGGCTGCGTCAGCCCGGCCAGGCGCCCTGGCCCCGGGGCGGGGGGGTTGCCGCGGAGAGCCGCCGCAAGCAGGCCCCCCTTGGCCACTACCTTCCCGAGCGCCCCGGGACCTTGAGACGCTCGGGGCGCGGAGGCGAGGGTGGGATCGACACCCTGGGCGGGCGCTGTGTCCAGTTAACGGACCCAGAAGGGCCACCTGAGCCCTGCTCGGAGCCCGCCTCCGCCCGCAGTTGACCAGATGGAGGCTGGAGGGCACATTCGGCCTTGGTGGTGGGGCGGGGCGGGGCCCGGGGCCTCCCGGAGGAGGAAGGCCCGAGCGCCAGGTGGGGGGTCACCCACTGGCCAGCCACCTGCGGCATCTCTGAGGGCCGTCTTTGGCTTCCAGCCTCGAGTGCACTTTCTTGACCCGGGGCGCGCCCGCGGGCAGGCCGGAGGCCCCGGGCGTGGAGGGGGTCGGGGCGCTGGGCCGGGGTGTGGGTGCGACTGACTTTGCCCTTCAGATTCTGGAGACGCTTGTTTGGGGGTTTGCTGCCTGGTGTTTATCTTCACCTGAATACTTGAACTGCCTCCCAGATCTTGAAAAGGCAGATTCTGTTTTGAAATAAGAAGTGGTGACATGAACCGTGGAACTGAACCTTGGTTATTGAGGAACTAGCGGACTTGAGCTTGGCATGTGTTCCTGTAAGTTTTTAACACACTTTTTATTCCTGCTCAGAAGCGAAGAGGAAAAACATGACATTCTAAGAAGTTTAGGAGCTGAAGTTTAGCTGAATGTTCACAAACATTGTTCCTCTCTTCCATCTTTCTTTTCACCCTGAAAAAGAAAATGTCTCATAGTAAGATTTTTAGAAGAATAATAGGAAAGATTTCTAATAGTAAATTTGTAAACGGTCTATTGAGGAAATACTCCTACTTATAAATTTAAATAATATACCATTAGGGAAAATTCCAAATCTTGGATGGTTATCATTTCTGAAATTTCTTTTCCACCTTGTGTGTTATTCATACTTTATGTTCTCAGTTACTTTTATCCTAAGAATATTGTTTTTGAATGCTATTAAAGAGCAGTTATAAGAAAGTCACAAGTGGCATTATAAATTTATAGAGCAGTACTTGTTAAATTATCCATGAAGGTATCAGTTTAGGTTTCCCTCTTGAAATGAGAAGACATCTGTGCTTAGGTCGCATCTTGCTCCAGCCTGGCTGCCTGTTGCTGGCCTGATGAAAGTTATGACAAGCATCACACCTTCACAGTCTCTCCAGGCGTGTTAGTTGTTGTCATAAACTTCACGCTCCAAGCCAGTTATTGCACTTTGAAACTACTTAACAGATAGTAAATGTCAGTGATGATGGTATGCACCCAACAGTGGCTTTTAAGGCACCTGTATAAATACTTGACTTTAACAGTTGTAGGGTCATTCTTTCTGCTTTCTGATACTTGGAGTTTCAGGTTATTGAAACTTCAATGCATTCTTGAAATATTTAGGCATTTGAGATCTCTTCTGCTTCAGTTTACATGATTTGTTAATATCATCTCTCTTGTGTTTACCAATAAGGACTACAAGACTATGTAATGCCTGGGTAAAGCAAATAGAAAGTGAAGTAAAATTATATGGCTTGGCTTATCTTTATCACCACTTCTTAAACAAGTTAAGCATGTCTTTTATTTTAAATTGTTAATGGATTAACTATTATCATGAACTCTGTTTTCAGGAAATGTGTAACCACTTCATTTGATGGGGACAAACAGTTTTGATTAAGGTGATTTGTTATTATTCCAGTTTTCCTTGAAGCTGTTGTGTCTTTAAGTATTTATAGATCTGACTGGTTATAAATATTTCTGGATTTCAATAATAAGAGTCTTAAAGATATTCTGCAAGATCAGAATCAGAGCTGATATACTTAGTTTAAATTTGGTTGTGTTTTCTTTTAGGGCAGTGAAGTGTCTGTACAGTCTTGCTCACTAGTGTAGAAGATGGTCGGAGAGGTTATTTGAAGGAACCTGTGGGCAGTTTTGTTACATACTTAGCAAACATGTGGACAAAGAGTTGTCATACAGGTCAATTGGAGTGTGCCCCTTCTTTTTACAGGATCAAATGAGAAATCCTGAAAGAAAAGTGACTTGATAAACTGTGGGTCTGCAGTACTTTTTAACTTTAAAGCCATTATGATTATTTACCCACATTTATGTTCAGAAAAATAATTTTGTGTTTTTAATGGTCTATCAGAATCTGCAAGGTATTTCAGATTGCATAGGTAGTTATGCAGATGTCTTGGAGGAAGAATGGGGGATTTCACAGCAACAAAGTTTTATTAAATCAATGGTGATTTTAACATATTGAAGTATTATTTTAAAATGCTTTTAAGCTTTTTGGAGGTTGATGACACAATGCAGACTCTGCTGTGACATGATCAGAGCTCTCATTGCTCCACCTTTATTAGCTGAAAAAAAGCTCAGATGAGTGTCTGAACCCCTCTGAAGTTGCATTTTCCACCTCTAAAATGAAGATCGTACCACGTGCCCCATAGGGGTATCTTGGGTGCCCACGATGAGGGCCCAGCCAAAGAGGAGTAGTTGTGTTGTCATTCTAGTTCAGGAGCCCACTGGTCACTCAGGGCAGCCCTGAAAAGAATAGATGTTCTAACATTCATTTTCTCAGTGTTTAGCATGTGATAGCCTCTGCACGAAGCTCTTTAACTGTGATCTCATTTTATCCTGCCAGTAGTCCTGAGAGGTGGGTGTTGTTATTATCTGCCAGTTACAGTTGGGGAAATGGAATCACAGGGACCATTGCTGTTACACGTGGAGTGGGGACTGGAAGCCAGAGAATCCGACTGTAGAGTCCGTGTCCTCTGTCATCCCTTGCGACTTACTGGACATCTGGGCATGCTCAGGGGTCTTTGCGTGGAGGACAGCCTCTTTGCCTCGGGTTGATTTTTTTAGGCTGATTGACCAGTCTTTTTTCTTTTTCTTTTTTTTTTTTTTACTTTTATATAATTTTTTTCCATTCTATACAGTTTTTAAATGTTGCTTCCATGTATAGTTAATACACAGTATTGCCTCTATTCCCCATGTTCTACAATACATCTGTCAGCCTGTCTTACACTCAATAGTTTATACCTTTCACTCCCTCAGCTGTGTTGCCACCCCCTACACTGCTAACCACTAGTTTGTTTCTGAGTCTGCTTCTTTTATGTTGTAGTCACTAGTTGGTTGTATTTTTTTAGATCCCATGTACAAGTGATACCGTATTTTTTTAGATCCCATGTATAAGTGATATCATATAGTATTTATCTTTCTCTATCTGACTTATTTCACTTACTGTAATACCCTCTAGGTTCATCCACGTTGTTGCAAATGGCGAAATTTTGTTTTTTTTTTTATGGCTGAGTAGTAGTTCATTGTGTATATATGTATATATAAATATAAATATAAATATATATATATATATATATACACCACGTCTTCATTATCTATTTGTCTGTTGATGGACACTTAGGTTGTTTTCACGTGACCCATCTTTCTTGGTCTTCAGAGGATCCTGTCAACTATCTAGGATTCTCTGATGCCTGAGCTCACCACACAGGGTGAATGCCTTGGGGGTGTGGGCTGGGGACCCCTCAAGCTGACCTCACTGAACCACAGTGCTGGTCCAGCTAGAACTTGGCAGTTCAGTGTTCTCTTGAGCATGCTAGAAGTTCAGTTTGGGGAAGAGTTAAGGGCTCCACATGGATGTGAATAGATTACAGCTTTACTGTAACAGCCTTGACTTTTCCCTTCCTCTCCCCCTCCCCGAGTCCCAAAACTTCTCCTCCGTGTCCAGGAGTCCTTGGCAACCCTTCCCACCCCAAGTGGACCAACTGTTCTTTTGCAACTCTGCTCCCTCACTCACCTCTTATTTGGCTCAACATAGGCCCCCTTTGACCACACCAAATGGTGTTTATGGTGGGCCATAGATCATGGCCAAATGGCCCAGTGCTTTAAAAAAAAAAAAGTTAGTCCATGTTTTCTCCTATTCAATGAAGGAGAAAAAGTTGGAGTGTTGGGTTTATTTGCCTCTTGGAGGAGTAGGTGGCTAAGGCAGACAGGCATCAGGGCCAGGATGAGTGGTTTTAAAAACTTCCAGTGGAATTCTCTTCATTTTCTGTCCTCGAATTGGATGTTACAGTAACGTGGTCTCATTGAATTTAAAAGATTTATCACCACATAAAGTGACTTGCTAAAGAGCCCACCTGCCAATGCAGGAGACTAAGAACTCAGGTTCGATCCCTGGGTCGGGAAGATCCCCTGGAGGAGGGCATGGCAACCCACTCCAGTATTCTTGCCTGGAGAATCCCAGACAGGGGAGCCTGGTGGGCTATGGTCCATGGGGTCACAAAGAGTCGGACACCAGTGAAGCGACTTAGCACACACACAGGCAAAGCTACTTTACATTAAAACAGGCTGATGGGCCATAATCTCTGGTTTATGGCTTGCATCATACGTCGAGCAACTTGTACTTTCTGACTGGTGGGAAAAAATCCTGGGGATTGGGGAGCGGGGACGGGAAGAGGATGTCAGCTGGGTATCACCGGTGTCTAAGTTAACTTTGGCTCTCTACACCCAGCTTGTGGCACCTGGTTAGGCTCTGTGGAAACTCTATGTTATCTTTCTTTCAAAGTCAAAGCAAGTAATTTTGCTCAACTTACTGCTGGAATGTGAATTCTTCAATATTGCTGTCTGTGTCCTCTGTATCTGGTAGGTGTTAAACGAACATTGGTTCTGTTGTTTAGTCGCTAGTCATGTCACACTCTTTTGCGACCCCATGGACTGCAGT